TAGAGCTCATGTTAAGAGGATATATATTTCTTTATATCGTCAAACAAAGAATCGAATAAGTATCGAAGCATGGATATGTTGCTCGCCAGTTCGAAACTCCGAACAAAGTTTTTAAATCTACAGAATGCCCGCGTAACCATATATCCAGGACCATCAGATTACCCCCACCACGGCAGAAAGGGAGCAGATGTGCGCGTGGCGCAGGAAGTTTAGGTTCATGCGAGAAGCAGCTGACCGACGTGAGCATTCCACCTCGAGGAGAGTCGAGGATGGTCTCGGTGGTTGGCTTCGAAAGGGGGATGATTGCTCAGCCCTGAGCCGGGCCGGTTCAACCTAGATACACCCACATGTTCGTCAGGAAACGAACAGGGGGCCAAGAGAGGCCCCTTTGAAGAACATCCCATTAAAGTGCCGAGGGCACATTCATTTCCTTCCTTTACGCTTTCATTCCACGTTTCACAGGATATTTATCGAGCACGAAACGTATAATGTTTTATTTCCTGGCGTGTGGAGACGGAGCTTTACGTCCCCGGATAGCGCAGGTTCTTGCCTCGGTTTTCTCCCACCGTTTGTCCACTCTGCATGTCTCGTTACTGCGTTCCTTTTGTCACCTTCCTTTTTTCGTGTTGCTCCTAGGTGCGACCACTTGTTGCGAGCCCATCCTGCTGTTGCATTCCATAAATTAGTTAATTCCTTCTCGAAAGCTTATATCTTATTGCTTGGCTAAAATGAACGAATTTTCTTACGTTTCTTACGTTGATTAATTTTTCAAATACAGTAATGTCTCTCTAATTGACGCTCAAATTGTCCACAAAAATGGACAATTTTGGAAGAGAAGATACGATTGTTCGAACCTTGTTGCTCGCTTTTTTATGGTTATCGATTGTCAACAACTATAAAAACGAGTCGCAAGGTTCGAATAATCGTATCCTCCTCTTCCCAAATTGTCCATTTCTGTACACAACCTGAGCATCAGTAAGGGAGACATTACTGTAGTTCGCAATGAAAGCTTTCCTTTCGTAAAACCACGCTGTCCTCGTCTGCTCCGACAGGTCGGTTTCGTTTGTCAATGATCGATGAACCACAATATCGTTATCTTTTTAAAGAACTGTTTATGGCAAGAACAATTTTAAAGACAAATGATGTTGGTTGCGTTGTAAAAATTCCAGCGTTCAAGTATTTCTTGTGGTTCGATAGAAATAAATTCGTCAAATAAAATAAACTTCTTCTTCTTTACCATTTCATATAAATGACTTAACTTATGCAAACAATATTCGAATAACAGTATTCGATGATGAAAATTATATAACAACTATATAGATATGATCAATCTAATCTAAAGCGACTCATGTGCAAAATAAAATCCTGTATAAATTACTAAATAACTCCTGTATAAATTACCAATTAAATAACTATTCTATCATCAGAACGTTCATATAAATCGGTTTCGGATAATCGAGATCCCATTGTGCCACAAAAAATGTCTATCTTTGTGCGTGGCAATGAGTTGCCGACCGACGAGCAACCCCCGGATCCGAGGGTGGTTTTTCTAAAGCCGAGCTCGAATCGGTCGAACGAGGACGAGGAACGCGAAACAGAAGTTCGAGCATGAGAAAGAGGTGCCAGGGTTACGGAGGAGAAGGTGGCAGAGGCGGAGGAGTAGGAGGAGGTAGAAAAGCTGACGGTCAGATTGTGAGCAAGGGAAGAGGGTTGCAGCTGCTGTGACAGCTGCAGGCTTCCCAATATTACAGGCCCGACCGCTCCTATCCTCCGAATGCTGGTCCCTCCGTCGCCTTTCCAGGTGCTGCTCGCACCGGCGCGGCGCGGCGCCTCGAAAAATCCTCCTTTGTTCTTTACAGAGCGCGTCGCATCGTTCTCCGTCGAACATATCGATCCGGCCTGAATTTCATCGATGCCCCGCCGTCGATTGCATTCATTTCTCTTTCGTAACCATCGTACAATTACGAACGGGCGTTCGGTTTCGATCGAGAAGGGCGTGTGCTCGCGCGCGGAGACAGGCCAGGAACACGCGGAAGGATCGAACGTGACCCATCCGTTCGTGTTTTTCGAAGCAGCGCAGCTCGCCCATTTGTTCGCCACGTGTGCGTTGTATAACGTCGAGGCTGAAAATTGTAATTACCGAAACCGAAGGTTATCGGTTTACGGGAGAACACGTGCAAAACTGCTAGGCGAAAGAAGCGCCTACAAAGGCACGTACGAACGACAGCGAAAAAGCGTCGGCCGAACGGCCGTAAATAATTAATTTTCCCGCTGAATACAGCGAAGACAAAGCTAACCGGTATCCGGAACCTGGGAAAAATCGCTCGTTCGCTCAACTTCATTCCGATTGCGTTCGAGCCTATTCTCGTCCGCGTTGTGCAGCCTTGCGGCGTAAAAAAGCGAGCCGGTGCGGCACAATTATTGCGTAACGAACAACTTATTCAGGTCGGTCGCTCGACCTTTCCCCAGTGTGCTACCTGTGCCGGATGCAAAACTGGACTAAAACTGAACGCGTGCCCGTGTTACGCGGCGGCGGCGAACGCAATTCTCTTTCTCTCTCTCCGGAGAAAACGTGTCATTGCTGATCGCAGGATATCCAACGACCGAGCCGGATATCCTGCGAGAGAAGCCGCAGAGAATCGTCTGTAATTGATGTCGTGCGAAGAAGACGCGCGATGCGATCGCAAATGATTCACCACCACCGATGGCACCCCGTTGTCGCCATTCCGAGGGCGCGACAGTGAATTATCGACTGGTCCGATTATTTTCCGACACGAAACCGAGGTCATGGTTCCCGTTTAAGCGAGCAATTCGGCCGCACAGGGGAACTTTGATGAGAGGGCCTGCACCCCCGGGCTTCTGGTTCCCATTAGAGGGGGTGTGCAACGTGCCGGAGCATACGGCCCCGTAACCAAGGGACGTGTTTGGAAATCGGAGAGACTGGTTATTAAAGGAGATCGTATCCCTTGACACGAGAGAAACGTTACGCACCAATTACATTAGCGTGTGATACTCTATCGCAGAAGTGGGCCTGAACTAATCCCGGCGCGCGAGGATTGAGCGCAGCTGCAATTACTCGTCCTCTTTCCCGGATAAATTGGTGTCCTTAGACTCGTCATGGGCGAAAGCCTACCCTCTTTGCGAGCTAGCAGGCGGCCCCCGTTTTCTTGAAACGAGAGCACGGCGTTCTCCGCTCTCCGCGACTTTTACCTCGACGAACGGACCGCGGACGAAATCGTTCGAAATATTAGCAGATGATTTCTGTCTCGTCGACGTTATTTACAATCAATTCTTCTGGAGCTGCACCGGCTGCTGGTTCGAAGCGCAGCCGGTGTCTCTCTGTCCGTGAACGTCTCCAAATCCGAGGGTGAAATCCGTGGCGGGGCGATTTCAAAGGGAAAGATGGCGAAGAGCTTGGGCCGGAGGGGAAGAAGATTTGGATCTGGAGGGCGAGGTGGGGGCAGACACACACCTGCCGGCCGAATAAAAAGGGTCGAAAAGGTGCGCGAGATCCTGAATATCGAGCTTGTGAAATTGTAGTGCGTACGTACGTACGCAAGAAAATTAATACGACAACCTGACGGTCGCACCTGTTGCGACGTTCGTACGAGAAGAAAAAAAGGCAATAAAACGTCCCCGGCGCGTGTTCGCAAATATGAAATTGTCGCAGCTGAGGCTGCCCGGGCCCTTGAGAATGAGCTCCAACGACGAGGCATTGGAACAATGAATACAGTGTTCGTCGCGATGCGGATAATCAACCGGGGTCGGCGAACAATGCGATTTACGGGCCTAAGCTGGTCGACGCTTTTAGAGATTGCAGGCCATTGAGGCGGGCATTCGGTATCCCTGACATAACCTATAATAACACCAATCATCCCGATAACCGTTACGGTCCTTCGGCGGATTTCATTGTGCCTCGAGTGCGCCGCAATTTCGCCGAGTTAGAGGGTCGGCGTGACTCGATCCGCAGTATTCGCCGGAACATATGTCAATCTAATTAGCGTCGACCGTGCGGCGCGATTCGAGGGGTCCCTGGATTCGTGGAAACTCGCCCCCGGAACGCGTCGTCGAAATTTAGAACAGACACGCCCCGCGGAGAGGGACGACCGTCGTCGGACAATGGCCGGCTTTATCCGACGGGGTGGAAGAGTTTCAACATTCGTGCGCGGAAGGAATGAAACGGGGACAGATGGTGTGAATTCCAGGCCATGCGGGCCGGCGGAATTAAACATTCAAATGGCACCGTGAAGGGCTTCACCTTCGACTCCCTGAATAGCCGACCGCGCGGTCTCAAAGGGTAAAGTCACCGTTCCGAGCTACGACTGTACGGGTTGCGGTCTCCTGGCGTTGAAGAGTTCGAGCTAATCGCTGACTAATCGCTCAGGAATCCGAGAAGATCGATGGTATCAGTGATAAAGAATACATTATACCGGAGAGACTCGTGTGCGGTTAAGCAATCCGGACTTATTGGTCGCTGACCAGTTGACCCTCGGATCTACGCCGGCCCTGGTTCCCAAGATTCTCGGTTGTAATGCATCAGCATCCTCGAGATTCGCTAAGAATCCAGTTGTAGCGGTGACCTAGAAGCCGCCGAACATAATGCACCGCGCTATAATGGCGCACCTGCAATTAGGCTGCAATTATCCGTACCACCTTGTGCTTATTTTCGCGATACTGTTCCAGGTTTTACCGGAAAGGGGTGTGTAATATCGCTATCATTCGAAAGTCGCTCTTCGAAGGCTTCTTGTTTTCGAGCATCTACTGCGATACTGTCTCACGGAGATCGAAGGCGGAGACTTCGCGGATGTTCCTTGTTAGAACGCCGATACCGGTTCGGCGTAGCTGGCCAGAAGGCTCGATCCCGGGGCTGGTGGGGGGAAGGTCGAAGAAGGCCGCAGCTGGCTAGATCCTGTCCGCGTACATACAGCTGAACACGGCTGAATGTAAGGAACATGCCTCGCCGGCCGAGCCTGTATAATGTCGTTCCCCTCTCCACCGCGAACCTGCAGTTGGCAACACGAGCGTGTCTTTGCCGATCACAAGTCCCGTCGACCGGTCAAATTCTTTGTCTCTGAAAGGGTGCCAGTAAAAGTACACGCCGCTTTGATACGCGACCGCTTCCGCTACCTGCGCCGACGGGGCCGTTGATTGTCCTGATTAGCAGCTAGATCCCCTGCTGCGACCGACCGCGCGGTTCTGAGTAATTACGAAATTAGGAGAACCTCCATTATACGAAATTAATAACGGAACGTTGATTCGGCGTCCTCGCCGAAGCTACTCTGTATCCTTTTTCCTGTTCACCTGCGCAGAGTTGGCCAGATCGGCTATCTCGAAGATGTTGGCAAAATGGTGGGTCGATATTGAAGAAACAGGATTTTCTTTTGAAAGTCTTAAATAGAATCTGAAAATCGTAGATAATAATAATAATAATATGATGATGATAATAATAATATAATAATAATTTGTAGATTTGTATGCCAATAGTAGTATAGAAAAGATTTCTTAAAAGTTCATTATAATTGGAAATCCATTTAGTCATTACCAGACTGCGGATTTGTACGCAAGATGAAAATTCTCTTCATCAGTTGCAAGAAATATAACCTAAGTTCTCCTAACCTAAGTTCTCTCTGTCTTCAATAACTTTAATTCCCTCAATGTGTCTACCACGTTAAACTGCAATTATCCAATTTTATACCGTAAACGCATAAAATCCGCAGTTACGCTACTTAGCTAGTGCAAATTCCTTCGTGATTGTGCCATATCAAAATAATCGATCCTTCGTTTTAAAACGAATAACGAATTTTCTCAGCTAACCTAATCATTTCTCGAGCTTGAGATATGTATACTGAAATATTTATCCGCGTACCCGTAGGCCAGGTACATTTTCGTCCGGTTTTCCACGAATCCTTATCCTTTGCGGTAAACATTTTCCAAGCCGCGACTCGTAAAGTCAGGCAAGTTGCCCGTACTTACTTGTACCACATATCCGATAATCTCTTTCACACGTTCCTTCATTCACCGTCTGCCCGATCCTCGGTCCTCTTCGCTCCAATCTTCCCGACGACCTCGCTCTCTTCCTTCCCTTCGTTCACTCGCAGGAAGAGAGTCGAAAGAGCAACAAGATGAACCCTCCTGCATCGTTCTCCTCTGAAACCGGCGTTGTCGTCTCCGTCCGCGCCATCGACTCGCCGCTCGTTCCGTCCCTGTTCCTCCCGTTCCGCGTGCAACCCACCCCGTTGGCCATTTTCCTCGTGCGTCGGCCCTTGTCGCGCAGTCATAGCCTGTCGCTTGCTACGGGGCTCGACCAATCAGCGCGCCTGGTCCAGCGGGCATGACGCGACCGCTCCGCAGAGAGAACCCGACGGTCGACGGACCGGACTGCGAACAGTCTGTCAGTAAACTCGGTGGCGTGCGTTTGGTTCGCGCGCGCGTTCGTCTACGACCGTTTCCATGCGTGTGCCACAACTCGGATATACACCACCGTGCTGATTCTGTTTTTGTACACGCCGAGAGTACGCTGTTTTGTCCGGTGAAAATTTTAACGAAGACAAGATGGTGCGTGGTCTGTCGCAGTGGACGAAAACCTTGAGCTTCCCCGCGAGGGTGTCCCCACAGAGGCCTACCAAGGAGTCCAAAGGGTTTCATGTGAGCCCCAGTGCTAGCCCCACGTCGCCACCCAGCCCGATCATCGACAACATGGATAAGGCGCCGATTATTACCGACGAGGTTAGAAAACTTTCTTTTTTTTTCCTTTAAATTTGTTAACCGGGCGTGCCGAGAATTCAGCTGTTTTTAAACACGAGTCCTGCCGTAAATCGTAATGGCTGTTCCGACCACTACAATCGCTGCGTTCTGTTGACATTCGAACGGTCAGAGCGTGGGGAACGGCTGTTACGATCTCTCTTCTTTTAAATGGTAAACTGTAATATTCGAATTGGCTGGTCAAAGTCGCCCGGTTAACAAAAGTCTTTAGATTGTAACGTTGGCACGGTTGCCTTGTATTTTCGTTCGACCATAAAATCGGAATGAAATGTTGCACAATACGGGGCCGTTGTGGTTCGACAACGTTTTCGAGAATTATTTGCGCGTCCCAGTCCTCTTGGTCAGTATGCAAACGATCCGCGTTCGGCATCTCAATGTGCACGTCGAGCATTCCTCGAATATACTGGATCGGAGTTTCGAGTTTATCGTGGTACGTGTTTCAGATAACGGTCTGTTGCTATACGCTTCAACCAGCCACGGTTAATCGTCGGTTCAGCGTTTCGGTTCCACGCGTCTCTGTGTGTACGTTGCTGAACGTGTACTCCCCCCACCCCTCTTCCCACGCGGTTGTTTACTTTCACATTACCGATTGTTGTGTACCGGCAGAAAAATATAAACAAACTAGTAGCGATCGTTGATTAACCGTTCGCCGACAGTCGGACGAAGATGAGGAATCGTAAAATCGTAGGGTTGAATTTAACCTTTCAGACACGACGCGCCACTATAGTGGCTTCCGCGGGTATCATCTTTTAGAACAACACGTCACTATAGTGGCTTTCGCGGATGTCATCTCTCTGGACTAAAATAATAATAAAAGCTTTACAAATTCTAAATAAATTCGGTCTTCCTCACTCTTATGAAGCAGTACATGCCAGTTAGTATTACTGCTTGGTAGTTTTAGTGTTGATATTATTAACCTTTTAGGCACGACGCGCCACTATAGTGGCTTCCGCGGATATCATCTTTTAGAACGACACGCCACTATAGTGGCTTTCGCGGATGTCATCTCTCTGGACGACGCGCCACTAGTGGCTTGCTCTAGTAGCTCATTCGCTCATCGTTTGAACCAAATAATCGTCTTCATATGCATTGTTTCACACTTCTTTTGTCTTCACATCGATTTACAACAGTCTACAGGGTGTCCGAAAAATGTCTCGCAATCCGGAAATGGCGGGTTCCTCGGGTCATTTGAAGCAACTTCTTCCTTTACAAAAATGTTCTCCGAGGAACCGTTAACGAGTTATTAACAAAAAACAGTGACCAATAAAAATCGAGTACGGCTGACGCGAGGCGGCCCAGCCAACCAGCGCACGAAGCCCAGTTTCGCTCGTTGGTTCGATCGCCTCGCGCCAGCTGAACTCGCCTCTCATTGGTCACTGTTTTTCGTTAATAACTCGTTAACGGTGCCTCGGAGAAAATTTTTGTAAAGGAA